TTTGGAGATAATATATTTTTTCATAATATATTTATTTGTTTATTGTTGTTATTCAAATAGTTTGCCGCTTCGAAATGGCATCGATGTGTCAGGTCGCGGGGTTGAGGGGGCAACGCCCCTCGTGGGGGTTCGGGGGCAACGCTCCAGAGGCCCCAACGGAGATCGACCTGCCCGGTCAGGTAGCGGGGCAGCGCCCCTCGTGGGGACTCAGGGGTAACGCCCCCAAAAGAAAATGTTATTTGAGAAAAAAAAAAAAAGGAAGACTTATATCCAAAACCATCGAAAGGCGAGTTCACATAGTTGACACAAAGACCATTGTCTATTTTTTACCTTAACACCATCTATTTCTATAGGTTTCTAAACTTCGAACTTAGCATCTAAAGTTCCAAACCCTCTTGACTGGCACAAGTGTGAAGATTTGGAGTTGGAAGAAGATGGGATTACATAAAGTTCAACTGGAAGTATGGGAACCCAGAAACACCCGCACCCACACACGCCTCCTAAGGAATATTTCACAAGAGCAATCCATATCACAATAGTGTTTTTCCCACTTTTTCATTGACGTTTAAATATGAGTTTTATTGCACATAACCACGCAATTCAAATACAAAAATAAAATTAATAACCTGATAAATAAAACATACTATAAACAGATAGTGAATATATTAAAACATTCAGCGCAAATAGACAATTTACTTACCAAACTATTGAGAGTACCTTCGAGTCCAGCAGCTCCAGAATCAGAGAGCCCTTCAATGAAAGCTTCATGTTCAAAAGATTGAACCACATTCTCACTTATACTCACTGGGGTTCTCATCGAATCTATTATGGTTTTTGGATTCCGGGTCTTGTTAGCCCAGTAATCAAATTTTCGAGAAATCACATTCCCTCAAAAATACAATTCTCTGCGAAAGAAATTGTTGGAGCTATGAAATCTTTCAGATTGTAGGGTAATTCTATTAGGTATTGCAATCGGTCTGATTACAGTGTGTGTGTGTATATCGATTCGTGGCGAGAAGAAGAAGAAAGTGAGGAATGGAGGCCAAAAAAAAATTGAATTTTGACGATGATAAGAAATCGTGACATGTGGCCTGCCCATGCGTTGCCTCTTTTATTTTATAGTGAAAAATAATGATGCATGGTTGGCTTGTTAATTAGGATTAATCTACTTGTATATTGGGGTTGACATAAAGGATGACATAATGTGAGTGAGGGTGGGGCCCACGATACTGTAGCACGGGACCCACCTCACTCACATTATGT